ATAAAGGTGAAGTATTCTTCGCGAAAGATATTTCTAAACATGCATATGTTTCACTAGTAAAATGAAATATGAACATAAGATAAAATGGAGTATGCAGAATTTTAGAAAATTTAAAAGAAATTTTAACTATATATTATAATTGATATGTGTTGGAATAAGTCGTAAACATATTAATACAAAAACTAAACAAATGCACTAAGTCAGCTTGATCAAATTATAGTCTAGTCTAATTATAAGCAATACGGTGTACTAAAAAAGTCTATGTTTTTGCGCAAAAATTTGTTCTGGGGATTAAAAATCCGAGTGTGTAGGATTTTCGCAAATTTAATAAGCTTTTTAACTATATATATTATTTTATATGTTTTGGAACGAGTTAAAAATATATTATCACAAAAACTAAAAAAATGCTCCGGATTTAGAATGAACAAATCTAATGTAAGCAATATGGTGTTTTGAAACTTCAATTTTAAAGAATTTTTCGTGCAAATTTTGTTCAAAAAATTTCCAAATCGAGTATGCAGGATTTTAGCAAATTTTATATGTTTTAAACTATATATAATAGTTTATATGTGTTGTAATAAGTTACAAACATATTAACGCCAAAACTAAACAAATATACTAAATTAGATATAGTCACGTCTATGCAATATGGTGTGTTGAAAATTCCAAGATTAAGTATTTTTTGTGTAAAATTTTGTACCAAAAGTTACAAAATTGTATATAAAAAATTTTAGAAAATTAAATTAGCTTTTTAATTATATATAATAACTTAGTTTAACTAAATTAGTTATAGTCTAAGCGATATATGGTGTTTTAAAAACTCGAAATTTGAATATTTATCGTGTAAAGTTTTGAATTTTTTTTATCTATGGCCTAAGCTTTTAGCTATAGTTTTAGGTTTTTATCTTATGATTTAGAGAAAGTTATAAGTAAGAATTAATTTTATTATACTGTAAGTGTCTAAACTTGAAAGCCACAAAATATAAATAAATATTAAGTATAAGTTTAGATAAAATTGAGATTCAAAATTATCTTATACCATAACATAAAATTAACAGTAAATACTAAACTCGAATTTGGATCTTCGAGCTCTTTTCAACGACATGTCTTACGTGAAAAAGTGTTTGAGATTTGCCTAGTGGCAAGTTGCGTTTTTAAAGAGATAATAAGGATATCTTTGAAATATCTACCTCTGTTATTAGCAAATCGACAAAAAATGTATGAGCCTTAAGATAGGTGAGTTTATTTTGACGTACGATTAATATTAAATAATTATGAAATTATCACATAAACTATTTTAAATTTTATATCTTGGATGAATATCCAAAGAAAGTACAATGAACCTTTTATTTCGGTTTTCTGCCAAAAAAATAGGAACGCATATGTATCGAGAATGAAAACAGAATTAAATATGAATACGATATACACTTATAAATGTTTTATATATGTATAATATATACAGTAATAGTGTGTATATTGGTATTTAGAGGTGTTGTGTGATATTTTTTTCGTTTGAAGTGTTCTGCCAATTTTTGTGTTGAAGATTTATTTCAACTCGACCAAAGAAAACATTTCAAATATCGTGTTTCTATCATTGTGAAACCTAGTAGAGGCTAACTAAATATATACATAATATATATATATATATATATATATATATATATATATATATATATATATATATATAAATTTCGAATGAGTTGCTAACAAAAAATATATCAATACAAAAAACTAAATCCTTCGATTCGATTTATTTCCTACTAAAATATAAATAAATAAAGTGTACATATTTGTTTATATTAACCACAACATTATTATATATTACATGAACTACTAGAGTTTATTAATTCGCTCGTATTTATATTGAAACGCTCGCGTATTTATAATAAAAGTTTACAAATTTAAATAAAACTAATTGACATATTTACAAATATGTCGAACACTCCGAACAACATCTGGCATTTAGTTCACTTGCGGTTCATTTCGAAAATTGTTTCAGTTCCAATGGAATTTATTTATTTCTGAATTGAATTATATTATAAACCTAAATATTTATCAAAAAATCAGCTCACATACGCACACATATACATTTTCCAAATTTGTTCTCATGATTCGGTTGACGAGTTGATTTGAAACAAATTAAATTTAATACAAATGAAATTATGATTCGAATGATTCGAATTGACACATTGTTAATTACTAATCAGAAGCTTATCGTTCTTGATACGATTCGAATCGAGTAAGATGCGATTCGAAACAAATTATTACGAAACAGTTGACACTATAGTTATAACGATAAGTCGAATCAATACCAATCGATTTCAATCCCCTATCCCCTATTTTACGTATAATTTGACCCGATGTTCCGTAGAAAAGTCGTAAAAATAATCCCGAAATACAAACAACAGTTTTGTTTTGTGAGATTTAACGATCCCATTCTGCTCCATTCTGGTCGAGTGCCATTTAATTTCCTCTTCTTCGTGTTTAATTGGTAAAATGAATCGGGCACACGTTTCGTTTCGTTTCGTTTCGTTTTCGGTTACGTTTCGACGCCTCAGTGTTTGAAATTTAAGTTTTAACGGCGGCAGTTAAAATCTTGCAAGAGAAATAATAATAATACTCGAACGTAAAATTAAACAGATGTAAATAATAGGTCTGTATATATATATATATATATATATATATATATATATATATATATATATATACTAGCTGGCCTGCAAATCGCATGATACATTTTCAATGCATCCCTTTTGTCATAAAATTATTTATTACATTTTTTGTATATTTTACTCAATGTTCCGGGGATATGGAATGTCCTCTTCTTCCGGAACTACTGATGAACATTATGCATTTATACTCTTAATTATATATTTCAAAATTTAAAAAAATCATTATTATTATGTAGGAGATTTCACCAATAATGAAGTCAAAAGCACTCTAGAAATTCAATTGTTTGTATTATATGTATATATTACATATATATATATATATATATATATATATATATATATACAAAATGCAAAAATAAATATTGAAGTATTTTTGAGAATTAAAATTTAAATACGTGTTATATTAAACACGAATATATTATAAATTACTTTCAATTTATAATAGTTAATAAATATATTACATGTGTTTTTAATAAATAAAAATCAAACTGAAATAGAAATGAAATTTGAAAATCGCGGTTAAAAGTGACACTAGCGTCATCCATAGACAAAGTTGCAACTTCGTGTTATTTTTGTTTTACTAACAAGTGTATGTCAAAATAATATAAAAATAAATATTTATTAACAATTATAACTCTTTATCGCTCAAATTAACTACTAATTTATGTGCGGTTTATTATTTAACTCGAAAAAAATAAATTTTAGAAATATTTTTAAATTATTACAATAAAATTTTTCATATAACCATTTTTAACCTAAACGTGGTGTAGTAAACTGTCAAAAATAATAATATAAATCAATTAAACTGATAATTTGAATAAATAATAAGCAATTTATAAATAAACATGGATTTGTTGGGTTCAATTTTAAATTCGATGGATAAACCACCATCAATTAGTGAAAAACAGAAAGAAGCCATCAAAAGTAAGAAAAATGCATATGCAAACAATACAAATCGGGTTAATATTTCAATTATTTTTTTTCTCCAGAGCAAAAATTGGAGCTGGAAAAACGACAGAATGCAGAAAAAGAAAACCTTCGCAAATTCAGAATCAAAGTCGAAGAAAAAATCAACCAGTTCCTCAAAGATGATACAAAAACAAAATACGAATTCCAACCCATGGATAAAATTTTTAGAAGCATTATGTAAGCCCTGTACTATACATATGTATTCCTTATTATTCATTCATAATTATATTTAATTTCTAGTCACGAGGTTTGTGAAGTGGCAGGTTTGCCTACGCAAAGCGAAGGCATAGATGAGGAGCGACACATCATAGTGTACAAAGCAGAGCACTTTCCCTTACCTGCAAAGAGTGAAGAAAAAGCACGAGAACCAAGCCCGGAACGAACAGAACCTATTCAAGAACCTGCTTCAAACTATAGAAACAAGTATGCTCATTTAATTAACAACGATGATATGAAAGCGAGGAGCACCATGGCTAACACTACATATGGAATAGGTAAACAATATAAATGACTCTTCATTTGTTTTACTTTATATAAACCAAATGTTGTTCTCTTTCTAGTTCCGAGTGAGAATAAAAGGGATGTGAGATCTATCGAACAAACTATGAAAGACATCAGAGCCAGAAAGCGCTTGAAGAAAGAAGAAACTTATAAAGATGAAGCGTCTTAGGATAATTTTGTTGTTGTTGTTGTTCTTGTTTTTGATGTGTGATTGTTATTGTCATAAAGTGTTTGCGCTCATTTCATGTATATAGTTACCATTATCATGATAATAAAGCAATGTCATAGATTTATGTATTTTAACTTGGAATAGATATTCTTACACATATTTTAAAATTATTAACAACTGAATATATATTTAAAACTATTAATTACCACAATCAGTTAATCAGAATGTCTGTAAAAAATTTCAAAACTAACTAGAACCACGAATAATGCAGTTTGTGCAGAAAACAATGCAAAAATAAAACTCAAACTTTTATATTACTTTATCATAATTTCATTGAAAATATTACAGATCTGGATATTTGATGATAATTAAAAAATGCAATCAATTATTATTTGTATGAAGAAAGAATACGCGTTTATCAAAAATCAATTTCTACCCTTTTTTTCCACATTACAAAGATTCTCGTTTTCTCTTCAAATATTTAAGTCTAATTTTCTACCGTCATATTTTTTAACAGTTTAAATTACCCGCCTTACCATCATTTTCTCGTCTGGCAACACTATGAACTAAACGTCAAATGGCAAACTGTCAAAATGTAAAAACAAACAAGACATAATAAATAATGTGTATAAGTTTTTCTATTCACTATTTACGGTCATGTGATTATTATAATAGATAACAAAAGTTTTAAAAATGTAGTCGATAAAAAAAAATATTAATAAAATAAATTATAAATGATTGAATGGGGTGCACTATCGATAAAGGAATGGCACCGTCGAAAAATAAAGAACTTAAAGCTAAATTGGAACATAAATTATACCTGGTAATGTATAATTTAATATACTATAGTATTATTATAGTCTATTTTGTCATTCTGTGTATATTAACTAGGCAATTTGTCCACAAAATGTACAGTTTTGACGAATTTATTGCTGAGGTGTCTAAAGAAGTTTGACCAGAAAATTTTAAATTCTATCTTTTTTCGCTTGTTGGGTATCGTTTAAAAGGTCTCGACGAGTAGAAAACGATTTTCACAACAAAAAAAATGATTATATTGTAATAAAAAACTTATATCATTTATCTATTTATTTTTTAGGCTAGAGAGAACCCAGAGCCTGTCTTTGATTTATCAGAATGCGATTTAAAACAAGTGCCTCAGGGAATATTCACTTTGTGCAAAGTCTTTCGCAAAGAAGTTCTACTCCTGCACAATAATCGTCTTAGTAGTTTAGACAACGGAGGATCAATAAACGATTTAAACTTATTAACCATCTTAGATCTACACAAAAATTTATTAGTTACTTTGCCGCAGTCAATAAATGTGCTAACTAATCTCAGGGTGAGAAAATATATTATAAAACTTATTTATAAAAAACATTTTTAATGAATTTGTAGTGCACGAGCTTAAGGAATTTCAAAAAATTTACATAGTGTGTATTAGTTATGTGAAAAAACTGTAAAACTTTTGAATGAAGTAATTTATGTTTGAAAATGTTAGATTTGCAAAAAAAAACAGTTAAAAAATAAATACATTTGATATCTTACTATACCCCTCCCCCACGTGATATTTCGTGATTTTTTGTCAAACCCCCCTCCCCCTAAAAACCTCACGTGATTAATGGATGCCCCCAAAGGTCTTTTTCAATAGAATACGAATACTGAAATAAGTTTATACACAAATGCACACACACACGCATACTCACGAGAAAACATAACATTAGCAAATTCTTTTTTTGCATTAATACAATCGGTATTTTTTTTAGGAATTATATTTAAACAACAACCGTTTAAAAGTTCTACCAAACGCAATATGTGATCTTTACAATTTACAAATATTAAATTTGAACGAAAACTGTCTGAAAAACTTACCAGACAATTTGGGAAATTTGCAAACACTCCAAGAACTTTCCCTACGAGGAAACGATAAATTAACAGAATTGCCTTATAAATTATGCATTTGTAGAAATTTAAAAGTAATTAGTTTGGATTGCGATAGAATCAAAGAGCCTCCAAAGGCTGTAATCGAAAATGGGGTCGATTGTATAAGGAAATATTTTGCTGAAAGTAAGTATTAAATAAGAAATTGAAAATATTTGAATTATGATTGATTTATGAAATGTGATTTTATTTTAGAGCATAATATTATATATGAAAAAGATGAAGCTGATGGGGATTTATATAAAAAAGAGTACAAGGATGAGTATTCCAGAGGCAGCTATTTAACATTGAAAGTATGTAATGGAAATTTAAAGAATAAACTTTTCACCTATATTTAAATGAAAAATTAACCTTGTCATTTGTCCATAAAATATACACTTTTTACCAATTTGTAGCAGAGGTGTCTAAAGAAGTTTTACTTAAAAAATTTTAGATTGTATCATTTATGAATCCGAATATTGAAATGAATTTACACACACACATATGTATATATAAATATATAAATATATATAACATTTATTTTCATCAGGAACAAAAGCAAGCTGACTTTTTAGCATACGAGAAACAGAATGAAGAAATTTTAAAACAAGAGTTAGAAATTAGAGAGGCTGAAAGATTAAAAAAAGAAAAGGTTTGTGTATTATTTCATTATATAATTAATATTAGATAATAGGAGATGATATGTTTTTCATTTCGCAGTTTTTAAAAGAGTTGGTAGCACAACAAGACCTATTAGAATCGGAGGTACGAAAATTCCAAAAACTGAAAGACGAGGATAGAAAAAAGTTCGTTGATGATCTACTGGCAGGTAAATGTTAAAATATTATCTAATACATTTACGTACGTAGTTATTTCAACTTTTTTTCTCAGTGGAAATAAGAACTGACAACATCGTCAGGCAGCTTCTGGCGATCAAACATTCCGAATCATTTCATGAACAATTCTCACAATTGCAACATGAAGAAGAGGAAAGGCTTTTGCAGATTTTCAGAGAAAGGAATCACGACGAATTACGAAAAAAAGACGTTTTACTTTCTATGGAACAAATGTTGCTGCAAGGAGACATAGAAATATTTTCCAGGAGAAGTTGTGAATTGGACACTGTTAAAAATCATGTCATAGAAAGGTCCGTTGTAAACTTCTCTTCACCTACACATGGTTAGTGTTCTAATTATTTAATTTTCTACAGTGAATTAGAGACAGGTAAGATGATAGATTCTCATCTGTGCAAACGGGACACGAGACAGAATGAGCTGATTGAAATTCTGCAAAGGGATGAACAAATGCAAAGGGAGTGCCTTTTAAAATTATTAGCAAACAGAAACGACTGCGAAAGCTGGTGCCTGGTACAGAGACTACGTCTAGTCGAGACCCAATTGAGTGAGCTGACCAAGCTGGAACTCGAGAAGAGGAAAATGCAAAATGATAGCACACTGGTAATAAAAGAACTATAGAAACATACATCATAATAGTAATTTATTTATGTGTGTAATATTTGCAGAACGATTTGTCCGAAATGAGAATGGAGCTTGCAGCTCATTTAATCGAGTTGCTTGCTGAAAGGGATGAGCGCAAACAAAAGCTGGTGAAGACAATTCAGGACATCGACAGAGAGCAAGAAAAATTCTTCAAGGAAGATTTGTGGTTGATGAGATTCCAACAATTGATGGATTCGATGCCAGAGTGCTTCCGCGAAACCAATTTGGATGTGGCTCTGATGCAAATTTTATTATCTGAAGGGCTATTAAACTATTTGCCTTATTTTGGACGCCTCATGGACATCGGTGAGATAAAGATCAATCACAAGTTGTTAATATAATAAAATTATGTTTTTCTTTTTTTTTTAGTATCAAATGACACAATGAAGATAACATACGAGTATATTCGTGAAGCCGGTATTAAAGATGAAGAAGCCCAAGAGGCGATAATGAACGCCATAAGAATTTATAACCAAGGAACGGATCGGAATTTGTATTCAAAATCTAAAGAACTCACCAGAGATGAAGTTCAGACTCCGACAGCTCCTGCAGTTGTTGGGTCACCGAGTTGTTCAAATATTATTACAAACGATAATGGAATTAATGCAGAAACCTCAGTAATGAACTCTGAGTGCGTTATTTGTATGGATCAGGAGGTCTGTTATAGGAATATAATGACATATATATATATATATATACGTCTATCTAATTTGTTTCTTTATATTATATTTCAGTGCCAAATGATATTTGTGCCATGTGGTCATATGTGCTGTTGTATTTCATGTTCTTCAAACGAGGTGAGTTCATTTTTTTAATTCAAATCAATCTAGTATCAAGTCAATCATGGATCATAGGATATAATTTGAATAAAAAAATAACTATTATAGATAAATTTGACGACTGTTGCTTTAAGTATTTTCTGTAGTAATTTATGTACACAATCTGCACTTCGAGTCAATTCATCTTTCCATACTTTTTTCACAAAAAAAACTTGTATTACACTGTTTATTTTTTCAGGAATTAAAACTTTGCCCTATGTGCCGAGCAGAAATTAGCCAGAAAATTCGCGTAGTTGTGGCATAGATTGTGCTTTTTTTGTCACTGAATAATATTTGTATTCTATAATTAAGTTTTTTCCTTTATACATAAGAAATATATATATGCTATATACATATATATATATATATATATATATATATATATATATATATACAATATTTTATAAACCAAATATATAAAGATTAAAATATAAAGTGTCCTTTTTCAAGTGCACGTGTTTAAAAGTTTTATTAAAATAACTTTCATCTACATGTTTTTAGAAGGTTTTTGAGTGTTATAATATGATATGTGATATTTTAAAATATACATTTTTCTGCAAGTTTGTGCAGAAATAATTGTTTTATTTGATTCCAAATTTATACTAGTCTGTTAATTTGTTATATTTGTTTCAAAAATTTACAAATTTTGCAATAGTTTATTAATTAAATTCTTTGAACATGTATATTTATTTGTTGTTAATATTTATAAGTTATTTTATGTGTATAAAAAAATACATATACATTCTGTTTATGTTCATAAATTATATTATGTCAAATTATATTTTAATTAAAGGATGATTTAATTATTTCAAAATAAATTTGTTCTAAGTAGAGAATATTAAAACGAACATATTTTATCAAGTTGGTATTTTAAAAAAAAAAGACTAATTGTAAGTATTTCCACATTTCTTGTGTCACGCTGTTAATCTAACTTAACTGACTTTGAAATTATACAAATAAATACATGACATTGTTTTATTATTATTATCAATATTATGATTTATATTTTTTGTTTATGTATTTTATATTAGAAATTGTATTATTTATTTTAATTAAAGGAATAAAAATCCATTTATGTATAAAAAAAGTATAAATTATATTCTATTAAAGTAAGTACATCTACATTTTCTTAAGTTACGCTGTTAACCTAACCTAACTGAATTAACAATTAAACACACAGTGTGTGATTATTTACAATTTGCAAACGATAACAAAAAACCTTATAAAATATAAAACTCAGTTATCACAATTCATGAATATTCCAACTGGTGACTACTGTGCTTCTGCCATTTCTTCATCATCATCTGAAGCCACTGCCTCCGCCTCCGCCTCATCTTTATCTTCAGAGTCTTTTGGAGTCTCTGATTTTCTCTTCGCTTGAGTTTCCTTTTTCTCTTTTTGTTGATTTCTGAACGCTAACAGAAATAATAATAACAATAATAATACACAGCTCCTCGCAACACTTAATATTACTAGGATTTTAAATAATTTTATAAAGTACAAAAGTTAGGTTATGTGTCCTCTTACTACCTTCTAGAGATTCCTTCAAAGGCTCCACAAAGTTGTCAAATTCGATACTGACCAAGGCTTCCAGTACATCGGAGCCCCCCAGAGTCTTTTTGTTCTTCTTTTTGGAAATATTAGTAGCGGCTGCTGTCAGATACAAAACGAAAACAGAGGCTGCTTTTCCCAAAGCAGTTCTGGCGTCTTTACCGACATTAACTCCTTCTGGCAGAGCCTCTTTTATCAAACGCAGAATTGCCGCATTTGGCAGGTTGAGATCTTCCAATTTTTCGGCCATTGCAATAATTGAAAACTCGTAATTGACACTTGTTATATTTTAAAACACTCACTACAGCACCAAGTATTTATTTTCTTGTATTAACTATTACAAAAGCGTTGTGAATTTTTTTTACAAGTGCAACATAACCTATACGATGTGTCAAACTTCAAACTGAATTATGACAAAGCGCGCGAAGTTGCCTATTGAGAAATTGAGAAATTGAGATCAACCACATAGCATTTAGATGGCACTACAATGACGTTTTATTTGTTTCTTTGCTAAATTATATTTATTCATTGAATTATTTATTGATTATTCTAGAAATTGTATATGACTAGAGACGCATAAACAATGAAACTTCAGATTCAGCTATTTATTATACCTACAATAAACACTTCTAATGAATTTGTAACAGAGGAGTCTAAAGAAGTTTTACTTCAATAAAATATGTACTGTAACTTTTATTGCTTGTTGGTTGGGTTTGATGCTTGTCATTTAAAAGGTCTCGACGAGTGGAAGTCGATTTTTACAAATAGGTAATTAAATTGAAATAAAAACATCATATTTTAATAATGTTATTAATGTTCTTTTTTTTTGTAAAAAAAAATGTGTGAGGTGTAAAACTATCACAGCGTATATTAAAATGAAATATGTGTTTTGCCCACAAAATATGCACTTTTTACACATTTCAAGCAGAGGTGTCTAAAGAAGTTTTACTTTAAAATTTTATATCGTATCTTTTACGGCATGTGGGGTATCATTTGCAAGGTCCTCATTAATATAATCCGAATAATGAAATAAAATCTTACACAAACACACATAATTTTTCCAAATTTGGTTTCATTCGATTCAAAATGACTTGGAACGTAGAGAAGAAAAAATAAAACTAGCAAATCGTATTTAATGGCGAAAACATAAACTTCTCATTTCGGAAGTTAATAAATATTAACAACTATTATTTATTTACACATTTCGGCACTAGATATGTGTCATCATTCTAAGGCAATGCCGATTTTTCTCTTGAACAAAGTAAATATCAACTTAGATGAAAAGGAGAGGACGAGGAAATTGAATAACATCATAGATAAAAAAGGACTATATTAACGAGTGAATTAGGAAGCATAATCAGAAAATAAAAAAAAAAACTTTACTAACTAGTAAATTAAATAACAAAATAGAAGAAACAAGGTCGGACTCTACTAACTAATTATGTATCAACCAACCAAGGAGATAAAAATGAACCAAAAATCTTTTCAATAAAAATGTTTTTCTATTTCATTTGCAAACTGACTATATCTGGGGCATGACAAAGCGAAAAAGGACTCTACTGACGAACAAATTACCTATATATACAACTAGACACTTCTTTTATCCATCTCTACATATCAAAAGTGTATTGGATTGGATGAAGTAGCGTGTTAAGCAAAGAATCGTATTAAGCGTGATTCAGTTCTATCTCTACATTTCGTCCAGAAGTAGGTACATAGAGATATGTGATGTGCAGCACCATTCGCACGCACACCATTCCATCCTGGCTCGTTCGCCCGTTCGCGTAACATCGGCATCGGTTCGTGTCGCCGCACGAACGAAATCATCAGTAGTGCTTAGCGTGCGACCAACAGCGCACGCATTCATCATCAAAAAACACACAATAAAAAACACAATAGGTCACTTTTTTTTATTTAATTTCATTTAATTTAATAAACTAATCAACTTAACCGACGAAAAAAATAATTAGTCAAATAGTAAAAACATAGAGCCGACCTCAAGCCAAAACGGTAGAAATAAAGCATTACAATTCGCCGACTGAATAGAGAAACACACAATCGATAATTGAAAACATTAAAAAGGAAAAGGAAACTGTAGTGGATTAATTTGAAACAAAACGAAACGAATAAAGAAGTGTTAGTTGCTATTTTATACGCGAACAACCGTTTGTACAAACAAATAGTTAAAACTTTAAATCAATACTAAAATGTTAAGTGCGTCTTAACCAACCCCAAACTGATGTGTTTTTTTTACTCTACCTATCTATCACCATTATTATTATTATCGTGATGTTCTTTAAATTTTAATCATTACAATTTTATTAATATAAATGCATATTTAAAAAAGATGTGTGCGTATGTATATGTATTTGGGGTTATGTAACGTTAGAGTAGCGATAGTGCTGTCCGATACTCCGCGAGTAATTTCGATATTGCGTGCTAAAGTGTGTTGAGTTTTTCGTTTGGTTTGGTTTCAAGTTTTTTTTAGATGGTTGAAAGTGGCACCATGGTCGATCTGAGTGGTGTTTCGCCTGCTGAGGTCCCAAATGACCCGGGGTAAGAGGAAAAAATAATTATACACATTTTTTTCATACCTATATTTGTTTGTAAACAAAATTTGTAAGAATCTTATATAGAGTTCACCATATAATTTAAAATTTTTTTTTCGACGACTGAAACTATTTTCCATTATTATTACGGAAAAGATTATACTTTCAAACTAGTTCAAACATTCGATTCTCATTGATAGGGAGATATACTGATTAATTTTTAGCAAAGGCAGGTCTAACCGTTTCGGAGATATGGCGCTAAGAGTACAGAAAACAAATATGGAGTTTTTGAAAGATACCGAGCTAAACGTCAAAAAAGGCAGTTTTTGGGAGAATTAAGCATCCGATTTGAATGAATCAAATAACTTTCTGTTTGACTGTTGACTGTTGACAAAACGATTGTTTTTGGAAACTTTTTTTTCTATTTTTTTTTGAATTTCCAAAAAACTTTTTTTTTTCAGGTTTTAATTTTAATTCTGGCTAAAGTTCTAAAGCTCACTTATATACCTTAAATAAATAATTTTAGCTTTGCACTTTGGTTAATATAATTCTTATGAATATTAGGCGATGTTCTCCATTTTAAATTCGATTGAGTAACAAATATGTTATAACAGTATTCATAATAATCTATTTGAAAACGTGTAATATTTCTTTACGGTACGGGAAGTTCCAGCAATTTGCCGTAAGTCACGATGCCATACACCACTAGTCTTCTCTAGATGCTGTTATTCAATTAACTCGTCGGTAAAATCTTTTTTTTATAATAGTATTTAATATAGTAAAATCCTTTTTTATCTTCTACATACATACTTCGTCAGTAGAGTCCTCTTTTGCTTCCAAGCCAAATGCTGCCTGTTTGCTTATTTCAGTGAAGTTTTTTATTTGAAATAATATTCTCTAAAATAATTGGACAATAGTTAAAATTAAAACTGGTGAACACTGCCAGTTTGCTTGTCAGTAGAGTCCATTTTCTACAGTAAAAGTGTCATCTTGTTAATTTCACCCAGAGACCGAATTACCCAACAATTAATTCATTTGTATGAATTTAGTATAGTTTCCGCTTTATAGGGAAAAGCATGAAGAAGAGAAATATAAGTATTAGGTTACAAATTTGGTTGCCTGAAGGCAAAATGTCACTTACACCTAGTCATTATATATAATAAACGTATAGTAATATTTCGAAATGAGAAACAGGCAGTAGCATTTCCTCCTGCGTTTCTTCGCCGCATCTTGTGTTAAGTAATAATACAAAAAGTAACATGTGTCCGTTAATTGAGTCTCTTTTATTTATTTTTTTAGACAGACGAAGACGACACCGTTGTTCCTTTTGTCCCTTTTTCAAAATCCTTTGTTTACCCAATTCTTGTGTTATATTAGTAGTATGTAGTAGGTAGTTGGTAACTAATATGCATTTCCTGGAATAATATTAGGACGCGACTAGAATCGTCGAAATATAAATAAAATAATTTTTTCTTCACAATTTAAATTTTAATAATGAATCTAAAACTAATATGTCTTCTTATATATAAAAATGATTCGCAAAATGTGTTGGTAAGCGCATAACTCAACAATGCCTGAACCAATTTGGCCAATTCTTTTTTAAAATGTTCGTTGAAGTCCAAGGATGGTTTTTACGGCGGGAAAAAATCGAATAATTGCCGGGAAGCACCCTAAAAACAGCCCTTTTCTTTTTCACATACAAACGTTAGTATTTCCAAATTTTTGCCATCGGATACGGAATATTTACTCAAGTCCATGGAGTGTTTTGAGTCTGAATTGAATTTGAATTTGAATTGAATGAATTTTTTTACTGTGCTCCAATTTGCATAAAATTTTGAAATAAGGTTCATCTTACTCTCAAGTTCAAAAGTTAAATAATTTAGACTCCTTTGCCATTTCCCGGGGGGATAACATCCCTCTCAGTGGTGTAATTTCATTTTTTACGTCGGATATCGATAAAAGAACCAATTATAGAAGCCAACCAATTAGAAGCTTTATAAATCATCTAACTTTATCTAAAAGTATAAATTACTTTAATTTCAGTAAATCAGTAATGTCATTAATAAAATTATAGGAGTACCTTATAAACGCTTCCACAATAATCTTCTTATTACTATTAAACTTTATCTATTGTTATTTTTTAACACAAAGCTTTACCAACAATTAGTGAGTGACTTTTTGCCTCAACTGGAGAAAATAATCGACTCGATCAATAATAATTGAGATTATAGAGTAAAATTAATTAAGGCATGTTTATTTTTTTTATAAATCTTGCATACGTTTCGAGTCTCTTTTTGACCCTATTTCAGTACATAAACATACAAATAAACTTAAATAACACACCAACTTTGTGATAACTGGATAGGTGTCTCTATAATTTTTTTTATTTATATATATATATAAATATTTATACTTATAACAACAGTACAATATATATTGTGAATTTTTTCGGGTTTTTCTCAATGCCATCACTCATCAATGCATTTTTTTACAATCGAACAACTATTTGCATAGATCGACATTTTCGAACGCACTTGATCTTGAAATTATTCCGATATCAATAACAGTAATGTGTAAATATTTGAATTCGATAGACAAGTATATATATGTACATATATAACAAACATAAAATAGAATAAATAAAATAAAGTATTTAATCTGTATCCTGAAAACTTCGGGTTTCCATCAAATTTTAAGTTGAAAGCTTAACTAACTTGCAACTTATTACTTTCTTGTCATAAATATGTATATAGAAATGTTTTAAAATTTGGCGATAGGGTTGTGCGAAACTGAAGATCGCTTAGTTTCGAATGTTTATAGTAACATATATGTACATTTTTATTGAATATTTAGTTTATATTTATCAATTGGTATTAATCTAATTAGTGTTCTTATATTAAACGATTTTTTTATTGTTACAATCAGAATAACTTTAACCTTACATGTCCTATGAGCTATTTATCGTAGACTTAATCTACTATATCAAGAGATGCAACCCATCGGATTACCATTCTCCTATGCTTGGGGATTTATATTAACTCTTATTGAATTTTGCAGCTATGGCCACGAATGACAATTTCCACTTGATATTATAATAATTAATAAATTTTAAATTCCACAAATATTAGTTCAAAGCTATCGAAGAGTTTTCAGTTTTGTTCGACTCGCAATTCTTTCAATCTACATCGATCTGATCTGATGGTCTATTTATTATTATTAATAAAGTACATATTGTTAATATAAATTCTTCAGTGATAAATTATGTACGTAAATGTAACTATAAGAACATGTACATACTACATACTACATACTCTACATATATTGTGTCTTATTGTTACATTGCGTCAGCTGACTCTCCGAAGGAGCATCATATGACGAAACAACGGACAGCCGCTCAATACTCAATAGTGCTGACAGACAGACGGACAGAAAATCGATAGCATCGAAATAGGGGAAAAGATTCTACTAGCTAACTAAACTGTACGAGCTGCATAATACTAAAAAGACTGACACATTTTGTTGAAGTAAAATTTAATTTGAATTACTTCTGATCACTCGTTTATTTTATAAACGATCTCAAAATAGGAAATAAAGGAGTTATAAATATTATGAAGATTAACCTAAAAACAAGATGTTATCGATTAACGAAACGTATAATAAATATTTGGGTGCTCCTTAATATAGACATTTTCGAATTTTCTTGCTCCCAAGGGCTCAAATGGTTCCAAATTGATAAAAAACAATTCTCTGAAAGCTTTAGCTCTTAATATTAACTTTTAGATAGTGCGCAATTCAATCAAACTTCGTATGGAAATAGCGTGAAAAAAATTTTGAAAATTAAAAACAAATTTTTTTTTAGGTATAACTTAGCGACAATGAATAAAAAGTAAAAATTCGTGTAATTTTTTATTGAAACTTCGACGCTCTGCAAAATTTTTGAAAATTTTTACATGCTATTACCATACAAAACTTTGATTGAATTGCGCTCTATCTAAAAGACAGAATTAGGAGTTAAAACTTTCATCAATTTGGAACCATTTGAGCCCTTGAGAGCAAGGAAATTCGAAAATGTCCATATTAAAGACCACCCTAATAAATATAAGCACCTTAATAAATTATGATGAACTGTACGGTATAAGTAATGTATAGTTTGGAAGTAATTTTTATCTCAGTATTTGGATTCTATTAAAAAAAAACCTTTCAAATGATACCGCACATGCCATAAAAAATACAATCTCAAATTTTTTAAGTAAAACTTCTTTAGACACCTCTGCTACAAATTTGTAAATAGTGGAGAAATCACATAGTTATTTATAGTATTCAAAAAATTTACACCTCACACATCGAAACGATACCCTAACAAGCGATAAATAATTCAAGATATATTTTATTAAAGTAAAACTTTTTTAAGCTCTTTGACTACAAATTCATTATAAGTGTATATTTTGCGGACAAATTATAAATAAGCTATGCGGTTTAAGTATTCAGATTATTATCTAAAAGACGTTTCAAATGATACCCCACATGCCATAAAAGATGAAATCTGAAATGTTTGAAGTAAAACTTCTTTAGACAACTCAGAATAAAATATGGTTATGTATAAAACGTTTTTATTACAATATAATAATTTTTTTATTTAAATATCGTATTCTACACGTCGAGACGTTTTGAACGATACCCAACAAGCGATAGAAGATGCAATATGTATTTTGTTGAAGTAAAACTTCTTTAGACACCTCAGCTACAAATTCGTAAAAAGTGTATATTTTGTGGACTAACCACGTAGTTAATTTCAGTATTCGGATTCTATTCAAAAAAACTTGATCCAAATGATACCCAACTTGTCAGAAAACACTAATTAAATTTTTTGAAGTGAAACTTCTTTAAGCTTGTTCACTCTAAAATCATTAAAAGTGTATATTATAAAAATGTCATTTACTGACATGCCTTAAGGCAAAATGCTACTTACAACTAGTTTGTTTATCAATTTGATGCCATGAATGGCGAATTTGGAGGCAGCACGTGGCGCGACGACTATTGTGGACGCGCAATTACTATGAATAAGAAGATGCGTCGTTGTGCGTCGATATAATCGCACTAATGGCATCGTGATGTCGATATAAATAACTCGATTTATATTTAGAATTCGATTTTCCGATTTGGAGGTGCATGACAAACTGTCGCATACACTCGAATACGTACACACATGTATATATGTTATAGCAATCATCAATCACTATTCTAATTTCGATGCAATCGATTTTCGATTCTGTTCTGCCAGCACTATATACATATTGAACAATTATTATCAATTAATTATATTATTTTGACGAAAGGATGATTCTCACTTTTATTGTTGAAGCAATTTATTTCTATTTGTAGTAAAGAAGCCTAAAGAAGTTTCACTTCGAAAATTATAGATCGTATCTTTTGTGGCATGTGGGGTATCATTTGAAAGGTCTTTTTGAATAGAATCCGAATATAGAAATAAATTTCCAAATGTTTGAAGTACTTGGTGTTAAATTGGAATTTATCGGTTCAATTATTTTAAAAACATATCTCGTACAATTATAAAATACTATGGCATTGGAAATTTTATTTAGTTTTAAGTTAGTGTAAGATGTGTAAGTATGTGCATTAATTATAAAATGTACTGATTTGATTTTTTTTCATTTTCAGAAAAATGTTTATTGGCGGCTTAAGTTGGCAAACGATACCAGGTAATTGTTACATTTAAGTCATAATATATTATACATATATATATATATATATATATATATATATAATAATATAGTCATTGTAAGCGTAATAGTTCTACTACTATTAGAAGTCTTATCTTTATTTTTATGATACTCGACCCAAACAAACAGCATCCCTATCCCTATCCATATCACTATCACCTTATCTCCTTATCGGCCAAAGTCATAATTTATTGCCCACAAAAATATTACTCGACATAAATCACAGATTTCATCTAAATTCTTATTGCACCCCATATAAATAGTGTATGTCTTCAGGAAGAAGTAAAATGTTGGCGGATTACAACAATTTTACATTAATCACATGAACGATTTTTAAGGACTTTTGTGTCCTTCCCTGCCGCTTGTGATATTTCGTGATTTTTTCAAGCACCTAAATGGACACATTAAACATTTTTCAATTTTGTAAACTAAACTCATATTTTTTTAACTTGATCGTATCATATTTTGTTTTTTTCGACAACGACATAACAAAGTTAGGCTTGGCCACCTTCGAGAGGAATTCGAAATGCAAACATCGATATGGTCATGAAGAATCTATGGAAAAATATGATATAACACGCGTGTAATGGATATTTTATTTAAAAATAATAAAAATGCACAAATCTTATCTCCATGATAAAAAGTAATAGGAACGACAAGATAACCGAAGAAAGAATCTTAAAGAAGTAGTAACAAACGAAGTAAAAATCACTCACGAGGAGAACCTCAGACTTATTTTTCAGAGCACAAAAGGCAGAATATATTAATATGGAACACGATCTATTTTTCACAATTTTAATTAATTTTTATAATTAAACCACTTCTCATAGGCCTATAATATTTTGCACTGTTTGACCATCAACTCTATTACATCCATCCCCTGAAGAGCAAACCTGAGGTTTTCCTCGTCAGTAAATATTTATCATAAATTACCATACACCACTAGTTTGGTTGGTTTAAATTCGAAATCCATCCTACACTGACGTGGATGTGGTGTTATCTATATCTATTTTTCATTTTTACCCCCGGAGAGAGTGTTAACATGTGTTTTTCTAAGAATTCTTCTACGACGACTGTACATATCGTATCGAGTATGTAGTAGGTACTTTTCGAAAGAAAAAAAAATCGGGCTCTTTTTTCTTTCCCTCTACAAAAAGATCCGTCGGAGCCTCCGACAGACGAGCGAGAATGTGTTAAAGGGGCACCTCTGAAGAAGTGTCTATTTACATAGGACGGTCGGTGCCTGAGAGAAGAACCATTAGCACTTTGCAGAGGATATAAATATTGAAAATATGCATACCCACACACACACACACACAAATAAATATAAATCTAAATATTTTATAAGTAAAGAACTGAGGTCAACAGTTTTTACCCCGGGATGATTTGTGGTGTCCAAAGTATCATCGAATTATTGAATCCAGTTTGCTCATTATAAATGACACCTAGATTTGTTGACTATTTAATTACCGGTTAAATAACTAATAATAATTTTCCCTAATGCATTTATGTGTTTCCAGTAGTGTATGGTCTAATGTTAATTTCGTTAAGTGATCGACCTCGTTTTTCGTCCAAAATCATATTGAATACATATTACATATATGTTAGACTACTTCCTGGGGTCACGTCGAAAGGCGCAAAAGGGGCCCCCTTATCATTCTTATCGCCGAGAGCTTATCAAATTTCTTCTTCACTTCAATAAAATATATATGTATATATAAAGTAGAACCTCGATTATCCGGATCTCAATTATACGGATTCGCGATTATCCGGACTACCACCGCTATTTGAATGAAAATATAAAATAAAAAATATAAAATTATGTACTCAAAGGAATATTCTAATTAAATAAATCATTATTATATTTATTATAATTTTTTGATAATGATGATTTAAAAATAAAATTTGATCCTATAAATTCTAATCATCCTTGATCAATAATCTTTATAAATCTATTACCATGAATTAACGGATTATAAATATAAAATACACAATATTTTTGGTAAAAATCATATCCCTAAAAAATACTATTTTTTTTCTATTTATAAATTTAAATCTACTTTTACTAAAACTGACAGAGCTATAATATGTATGTACATACCTACAATTCGAATTTTTGCAGGATATATGCTGCAGTTTAGTATACGTATGTAATATAATCTAAGAAAATATATAAGTACATAAAGAAATGTTAATTTCTTATTAACTTCCCGTAGGGTACGTTATAGTAATCGCAAAAAAACGAAAATGAAAATTTTTATATATCTTTACGTTTCAGAAGTTTTTGAACATTTTGGCATACCTTAGAAAAAATGGATGTTAAGTTTTAAAAAAAAAATTTTTTTGGTACGGGAAGTTCCAGCAATTTGCCTCAAGACACGATGCCATGCGTCCCACTACTTATACTTTTATACGAAAATAGCTTAAATTAATTTATTAAGTTCTAGTGCTGTACAACTGACATCGTAATCGAAGTGCCTTGAAAAGTTTCTAGAATCGATTTCGTGGCGGTTGCATAAAAAATACGTGCACTCATTAATTATTACCATTTTTTGTGTTTCTATCTAGTTAATTGCATACACACACACTATATATATATATATATATATATATATAACTTTTCACTTATCTTCACACGTTTATGTGATTTTGATTCCTATTTATATTAAACTTGTAATACTATAAAATAATAAAATCTCAAAATAGATTTATATAAATGTATATTATATATACATATACGAAGTCTAGTACTGAATATAAAATGCAAATTCAGTGGTTGTTTGAAAATGTAAATTTTGTGTGAAATAAAATGTTAATTCCAACTTTATGATAGGACGACGAGTAACTTTATTGTGTATATATATATATAAACCAAAACGTATCATTAAATAAATATGCCTTGAATCGTTTTCTTTTTACGTTGATGTTATGTTTACTAAAATTTATATAACTAATACGAAAAACACATTATTGATTTCCCTCTGACATATTTCTACAAACAAGATATTATTTTTGAAAAAAAGATTACTTGCAGAATCGATTTGAATAGAACTTGCAGAATCAAAAAATGAATAAAAAAAAATTATCGTTTACGCTCGGGTATTGTCAATTAGTTCAATTAATGTAAGTCTTTTTGATATTTTTAATTGTAAATACTTTTAAGTGCTGTACTCTTCACTCTTGAGCTTTTCACATTCTGTTTCTCTCTTTTTAATTAGAAGTCCACTGAGGATGATATAAAACAATATATCGAAACGTTTGGCAGTTCAATAAACACTTTATAAACTTAAACAATTTTTACTTGGAGAGTACAGATGTATAATATGATATGTGTCTTATTTCTTCTGGTCTTGTCGTTAATTAGCGCTTCGGCTAGAAAACGGATCATCTTAAACGGCGTTAATTGAAACAATAAAAAAATGTATATTTAGTACATGTAGGAAATGTACCGGCCGACAACAAACTAACCAACAGACTAATATACACGTACCTGCATTATAATAATAATATTATAATACAACTCAATATATAATCTCAACAGACGGTTTCTTTCCTTTCCTTTCAATTGTGGACCTTTCTCAGGGTGTTTGTCCACCAATTAAACGACAATATATACAATTGTGTTGGTGTCTGTAAATAAGGGATGTCTAAATAGAATCTGTTATCAGTATCACGCTACGATGCATTCTCATTTAGATGACACCGCCGACACACAGCGCCACAGGCACCACCAGACATCAACTCAATGCACCACCACACAGACACAGCCACAATAATGTAAATACACACACACATGTAAAAATAAATGATAAAAAATGATGCAATTGATATAATAATATAAGCGAAATACGTGGGTAAGGTGGTTAAAGTTTAGGGTTCTAATAAAAGTCTTCGGGGTGGCCAAACCCTACCACTTGGTTTCAATCAAACAGATATCCTGGACAGTTTCCTAAATATTCATAAAATTTGGATGTATGATTTATTACATTCTTTTTTTGTTATTAATTATTATTTTTTATTATTTTTCAGAAAGTCTACGAGAGTACTTCAGCAAATTCGGTGACATATCAGAAGTGATGGTCATGAAGGACCCCACGACGAGGAGGTCAAGGTAAAATAGCATTTATTCACAATTTATTATTATTGATATTATTAATAATCAAAGAAGATTAAATTTTGTATAAGAACCACATATGTTTATGGCCGCCGTAAAAGACTAATAATAAAAACAGATATCACCACTGCTTGATACCAGGCTGATTGAAACGCCTGCTTGTGCCCAGAATTCGTAGTTTCCGTACATTATACATTACATTAGTATGTTGTTTTTAAAGACGTTTTATTAAACTTTTACTAATACAGATTGAGTCGCAATATGAACAATTAATTTGATAAATCAGATTTATAAGACGTTTGATGTTAAAGGGAGTTTTTGTTGTATATGTACATATTATACATATACATATATATATACTGCAACCCCTCGTTTCGTTATTTCGTTACTTTTTTGACATTTTGGCCCCTCATGATGCTATTTCTGATATTTTCCTGCTGACCTTTCATAATGACGTAGAAATGGTAGTTGTTATGTACATAATTTACTTTTTATGCACTCCCCTATAGTTATATATATATATATATATACATATATATATATATATATATATATATAAACACTTTAATAATAAAATGAATTATTGTATTTTTAATATTTTTGCAGACTTTTCGAGTTTTGTTTTCAATCATACAAAATAATCAAAAAATAAATTCTAAACATGATAATTCTTCAGTAAATGTGAAAATTAAATTTACATTAATTATAAACTTTTAACTATCTTTATAAAGAAGTTGAAGTCTTTACTTGTTATTTATTTTACATTTTTTTTATTTTATGACATTTTAACTAAAAAAATGGGTTAAGCTGAGATATAAAACGTTTTTTTTTAAATCTAATTTTGTTTTAGTTTTAGAGTTTGGATAATTAAACAAAAAAATGTATATTAAGATGTAATGATTGTAATAAAATCAAAAACTAAAGCAATTGAATTGGAGTGAAAAAATATAATAAAAAGAGTGAATAGTATTTTGTGAAAATATTGTGTAATTACAAGTTTAATTTATTATTATACATAGTGTAGTGCATTACCATATCCTGATACCATGGATTATTAAAATTTTCCAATTTAACACTAAGATTAACTAATTGTAAGTACTATTTACTATTTTATTTTTTCTTTTCACTCCAATTCAATTGTTTCAATTTTTAATTTTATTTTTAGTTTCCACTGAATGAAGGCTAAGATTATAGCCGAAACGTATGGATTTAAAATAAATTTTTGAAAGAAATTCATGTTTTTTACTGATGTTACGCCCGATTACTAGACTTTGTTATATATATATATATACACTTGCAATTTAGGTAATAAAAGTTTATTGCTGCAATAGTTATAAAAAAACAACAGCTGGATGTGAAATGAATCTCTTTCCCACTTTCCATATTGATTTTTTAGTGCAGTACACTACTTTTTACTTCAGTTCAAACTGAAATTAAGACTTACTTTTAAGTAAAAAAGAAATTGCACAAATATAGTACAAAAATTAATCTTGTAATAAAAATGATATCTAGTAACTTCAAGTTATGTTAGTATAATTTAATTGTTTCCTTAATCTGTGACGTACGTCTGTGTTTCTTCCAAATTACGTAGCCCGATACTAGCTATTGTTATAACAGATTTCGTACGCCCCATGGGGGTAGTAGAAAATTATAATTGTTTTAATATTTAAAAAATATATATATTTTTATTTCAGGGGCTTCGGCTTCGTGACCTTTTCCGACCCCACTAGCGTCGACAAAGTTTTGGCAGCCGGCACGCACGAATTGGACGGCAAAAAGGTAATTGTAGGTCGATCTTTTTAATTAATTTTACTTTGCCACATGTATGCAAATTTTAATATATTTATTTTTATATTTCAGATCGATCCAAAAGTAGCATTCCCAAGGAGAGCACATCCAAAGGTAAACATTCTGTTTCATTTCATTTTTACTCATTCTTTTACTTTTTATACATTATAAATGTATATATCTATATTTTATTTAAGATAGTAAACTCAAACCCTCTTTTTCAACCGCCAAAAGGTGTTTGGGGAAGTTAACAGGGTGTAAAAATCAAAAATGTCCTATCTTTTAATTAAATCGACCAATCAACGTTCGAACAATATACAGACATATAGTGAGCTGTGGCAATGAAGGCAAAAGTATTCTTTAAATACAACTCTTACAATCAAAATGTAATATGAATCTGATAAGGATATCAAAAAGATTCCAGTAAAAAATTTAAAAAAATTATAAAAGAATTTAATAAGGATATTATGAGTATCACATTACAATTTTATCACAATCTTATTAAAGTCTTGTCGGTTTCTGATTATATTATTATAATAGTGTTGATAGATTTTTGCCAGAAACTGACTGATTAAATTCTTATTAAATTTGAGCTAGATTCTTATTACTTTTATCAAATTATACCTGGATTCCCTCGATTCGTATTGAATTTAATCTAAATTTTTATAAGGTTCTTATTAAGTACTTGATAATTCTTATTAGCTTGTTGATA